CTGCAACGAATCACGCTCCTTACTAACCCGCCATCTCTCAGCGGGCACAGGCTGGCTAAAGAGAGTGCTCGCCTCCAGCGGGCGCAGGCTGAAGCTGGCAGACCGCTGCCGCTGCCTAACAGAAGGTGGTACACAAGGAATTGAACTGCTGGGAAAAACACGGTGGGCACGCTTTCCCGCGCGGGCCTCAGCAGCTTTCTGGACCAGGTTGCCGTGCCGTTCGGAGTCCTGGACATTGAGGCCAGTCTGGGCAGCACGCTTGCGAAGCTCACGCCGCAACTCAGCAAGAACCCACGTCGCCCACGTCAGTAACCTCACTGCCGTTCTCCTCCATCTGCACGTCACGACCGTTAGCTTGGGCCTTGACCCACGCCAGCATCGCCTTCCACTGCTCGGCGCCGATGGCCAACCTGTCTATGAGCCGCACGCGGTCCCCTTCGCCCAGCGTGTGCAAGCTGGCTTCCACCCAGGCGAAGTCCACCATGCTTGCAACCGTGAGAAGACAAGGAACTGGAGGTCCCTGCATAGGAGTCGCAGGGACTGTAGCGACACCAGCATGAGCAGCACCAGCAGCATACCCTTCACCATGTACAGGATCTGCAAGAGGAACAGGCTGGGCTTGCGCAGGCTGGCCAGCTGAGCCGCAGCCTGCGCTGCCGCTGCCTCCGCCGCAGCCGCCGCAGCTGCAGCAGCCTCTGCTTGCACTCGCTCTTGCTCACGCAGCGCAGCTCGAACTTGTTTCTCGTCGAAGCCATTCTTCGCCGCCGTCGCCGCACGCAACGCCGCCGCAGCCTCCGCATGCCACCGCTGAGACTCGACGCGCTTCCCCTCTGCCTTCGTGAGCGCCTCGCGATGACGGATGACAGCTTCGTGTTTGTGTTGCACATCACATTGGGCCACTTTCTCCTTGCGACTCGCCACCTCCATCTCACGAGACAACCCAGTACGCCGAGCCAGGATACGCTTCTCGATGGAGTTCTCCGACACAGGCTCACGAGGGACAGGAGCGGGCGGCGGCGGGGACGCCTTGATCTGACCAAGGGTGCCCGCCATCTGACCAAGGGTGCCCGCCAGAGACCGGAGCTCAGCAGCGAAAGGGTCAGCAGCATCAGGGCGAGGAGCGACGTCACCACTCGGAGCACTACCATCAGGAAGGTACTCGCCCCCACACTTGCTGCATGCCCAGTTGCCGAAGTGGTCAAATCCCCAGCGGCCGCAGGACCCGCAGACGGAGTAGGTGCTGCGGCGGCGCGCCCTTCCCCCTTGGCGAGGCTGGTGCCACTGCGCAGTACCGCGCTTCGCTGCCTCCTGCGTCCACAAGTCACGAGGCCGCCATGCCATGAGGACTGAAGATCACGGACGCTCCAGCAGGAGCTCACAACAAAAGAAAGACGAGACCACGGTCCAGCGCACAGCCTAGACGTAGTGCTACAACAGCTCGGGCAATTGCCACGGATGCACCCAAAGCTAATCGTGATTCGGCATTTCATTTGACCATCACACGTTTAGCCTTGAGCCAACATGGCTACGGGGAGGAGGAGGAGGAGGAGGAGGAGGAGAAGGAGGAGGAGTAGTAGGAGGAGGAGGAGGAGTAGGAAGAGGAGGAGGAGGAGGAGGAGGAGGAGGAGGAGGAGGAGGAACATGAGGCCAGAGGAGGGGATGAAAAGGAGGCGGCTGGCCACTTTCCTCTCCCCCCCTCACCTCCCACGGTTTCTCCCTGGAACACCGCCCCTCTCCTCCCCTCACCTCTCTTCGGATGCAATTCCTTCGAGGTCAAATTTGGTCTTTGCTCTGGTCTGAAATCCAGTTTGATCTGGCTTAATCCCGCCTAATCAGGCCTCATCCCGTTGTATCCCGCTTCATCCGCGGCCTAATGCAGCGTAGCATCCCCCCAATGGGGTTTATTATCTTCCTGATCCTTCCGACGAAGACCTCCCGCCTGCTGCCTCCCAACCTCTCTTCTGCCTCAACCCCTACCGTCGACGTCGTAGTTGTTATTGGTTGCCCAGTGCTGCCAGGCAGCTGGATACACATGACGCGGACAGCCTTTTCGCGACAGCTGGCGTTCGGTCTCTGGTCTGGCCGGACGCGGTGCGTTCGGGCTTCGGTGTGGCTGGGCACAGTGGCCCTCCGCACGTTGGTGCAGCGCGCGGCGTCCATCCGTCCCACATGTGAGTCCAGCCAGGTGTGGTTCCAGCTTCCTGGCAATTAGCACGTGGCCCCTGCATCCCTGGAAGCCCTGACCCCTTCCCCGGGCCGCGTTTTCGCTACATCCTGGGGCCGAATGTTCCGCGCTGGGCCTCACGGCCTGAGCGGGCGTCTCCCTCTTCCTTTCTCGCGCTCTGTTCTTTTCCTCTCGTGCCTCAATTTCCTCCCGGTGCACCCCACCGCTGGCTTGACCCGCGTGTGACTGTCTTGGACCATTTGGCGCCCGCGGACTTACAAAAAGGGGTCGAATGTTGACGGCCCCATGGCGCCAAGCAGCGGCCACGGCAGCGAACGGCCTCCTTCCTGGAGGCTGAGGCCTCCCCTCCTGCGGGCCCCCTCCTGGCGCGGATCTGTCTCCGTGGCGACGATCGGGAGCCTCATCGGGAGCCTCCCGGAGGTTCAGACACCCCCGTCTCCTGCGATCTGATTTTTGCAATCCGGGCGTATTCCTTGAATTCCAGTTCCTGGGGCTCGTTAATTGTCGGGCCCCGGGACTATCAAAAGCTGATCTGGGGTCGGATGGGGCCGTGCATTGAATAAATCACTGTTTGTATATCTTGCCGACGGGCCCAGGCGTTTCGAACGTCGATCAAAAGCCGAAGCCTCGAACGCCCCCTCCTCTCCTGCGCCCCCCCCCCCCCCCTGATATCCGACGGCGCGCACAAAAAACAGCATCTCTAGGCCTCCTAGATGGGTTCCGAGTAGATGTGGTCGGAGGATCGCGCCGCATCGCCGATACATCGACGATGCGGCTCGATGTCGAGCCCCTGTTTCCCCACGCCGACGTCGCCGATGCATCGCCGACGTCGCCGATGCGTCGCCGATACATCGAGGACGCATTGGCGATGCGGCGCGATCCGTGGACCCCTGTCAACTCCGACCCCATCTAGGAGGCCTTGTACAGTGCCGTTTTCAATACATGCTCCGCGTGCGGATCATGTATTGAAAATGCAGGGATTCAGTATTAAAAACAACGACGAGTTCATGCATCAACTTATCCCTAAATTAATCATGTATTAAAATCTTATATTTTAAACAGTCCTACTTACTAAACACTGCCCTGCAGGATCGCAGGAAGCCGCCGCGGCCGCAGCCCGGGGCCCCGCCCTGCCCCAGCCGCACCCCTCCGCGAGGGCCCTGCGGGGGCCCCATGACGCGGGGGCGGCCTCCGAGCGTCGGCCCCCCCCACGGGCCGACCCCCGCCGTGGCGGTCCCCCCCCCCACGGCCCCGCCTCGCCCCAAGACGCGGGCAGGCAGGTCCTCCTCCTCCTTTTCCTCCCCCTCCTCCTCCCCCTCCTCCTCCTCCTCCTCCTCCCCCTCTCCTCCCCCTCCTCCTCCTCCCCTCCTCCTCCTCCTCCTCCTCCTCCTCCTTCTCCTCCTCCTCCTCCTCCTCCCTACGCTGGGCTCCTCCTCCTTCTCCACCTCCTCCTACGCACACTCCCAGAGCCCCAGACCCTGTCGGGCCGCATGGCTCTGCATTCTGCGGAGCCCCGGAGGGGCCCCCCGCCCGCGGCACCCTCGAAGCCGCATCGATCCGTGGCGGTCTCTCGGGGCCCGGCGCGGGGCGACGGCGCCCGGTGGGGAGAGGTTGCCCGTGCAGCGCCCGGAGCTCCGGGCCGGCCCGCCGCGCCCGGGAGTCCGCGCCTGGCCCGGAAGCGGCGGGCGCTCGGGCCATCGGGCCTCGAGGCCCCACAGGCGCTCACGGTAGGTTTGCGTCGTGTCGACTCGCGGCGACCCCAGCGCGGGCGTTCAAGGTTGAACGCCGCCGGCGACCCAGAATCGATCGATGTTGAACGATCGGACGTTGCGGCAGCGGCAGATCATGCAAGGTTGAACGATCCCTGCGGTGTCAAGAACCAACGCTGGGGTCGGCACGACACGAACCTGCCGTACATCGGAGGCCTATCTCCGATCTATCGGCGATGTGCTGTCGATTCTGGCTCGACGTCCCCCACCACCCCCAGACCTCCTCGCGCTGCGAAAAAAATATCACGACGGGGTGTTTGTTTTTTCCCACTCTGTTCGGAAGAACGGCTCAGGATGAAAAAGCGGTTCCGGGGCAAGGGTCCAGACCTCTGGGGATCGACGTTGTGACAAAAATCACGACGTCGCGGGTCTGGGCCTCCTGAAACAGTCCCCCCTCTGCGGTCGCGATTTTTTGGTTCGCGTGTCGCTCCGCCGGTTCTGCCCCACCACGCTTCGGTGCGGCACGCTATCCACGTCCCAGTCCCCAGGCGTCCACGCCCCGAGCCCTTCCCGGCCTCCCGCCCCACGGAGCGGAGCGACCCGCCACCCGCCCGCAGGGCATAGCGTGCCGCTGGGGCCGCCGCCGCGACACGCTCTCCAAAAGCTGCCGACCGTATAGTGTCGCCCCTCAGCGCAGCCACCCGCCCGCAGGGCACAACGTGTCGCCAGGGCCGCCGCCGCGACACGCTCTCCAAAACACTCCTCCTCCTCCTCCTCCTCCTCCTCCTTCTCCTCCTCTTCCTTCCGACACCATTTTGGTTCAAGTGCGAAACCGTGGCCCTGCGGTTTCGTACTTGCCTGCAGCCGAGGGGCTGGTTCGAAGCGAGATGCCCCATAGCAGGCCCTCCGAGGGTGGCAGGGCAGCCCCTGCCTTTGGCCCTCCACCTTCGGCTTTCGGCATCGGAAGTTTCGGAACCCGCGCTCCACCGCAACCACGGTCTCTACAGCCAGTCTGTTCCTTGGCACCCTCGCCCTCATCAGCGCTGCGCCATGGCTCCCCGCGGCAAGTACCTGGTGTGCCCCCGCGCTAGCTGCCGCGGGTGAGCATGGGCGTCTGCCAAGACGTGCTCGAAGTGCGGCACGCACATCCAGGCCGACGGCCAACGGACAAGAGCGAGCAGCAGGCCGCCCTCCCAACAGCCCCGCCCCATTGGTCGAGGTGGGCGCGGCGCCGCATGGGAACCTCGAGTTCGCTTCGTAGATGACGGCAACGAGGAACAGCCACCGCAGCAGCAGCAGACGCCGGATAAAAAACCAGGTGTCCCTGCCAACCTGGCCCTGTCGCACTGGCGCAGGCCCAGGTCACTTTCTGGAAGAAATGGGTTGGAGCCAACGGACGCGAATACAAAGACGCCTAGGATATTCTTAAAAATGCGAAAATGGAAGCCCTCAAGGACAAGAGTCTGGACCAGCAGACTCAATCGTTCAACGGACAGATCACTTCGCTCAAAGCCAAGCTCAGCAACCTCGAGGAGGACCTCCAGTCGACCGCAGACCAGATCGCAGAGATGGCGAGCCACCTACCAGTACAGGACGAAAAAGGTCAAGGACGCCCGCGAGGAACTGCAATTGCTCGAGGCCCAGCGTGCCATGGCAGCAACTGCAGCAGCTCAGGAGGCATCAGCACAGTCAGACATATCAGAGTTGGTCTACGCGGCGCTGCGGACCAAGATACCAACAGGAGGGCCCATGCCCGCGACCTTTCAGCAGCAGGTGCAGACGCTCGCGGCCACGTTCAACGAGATGCAGCACCAGCACGAGGCCGCAGTCGCCCAACAGTCCGCCCAGCTCGGGGCGACCACCGCAGCCAGCTCAGCCGCCGCAGGTGCTCAGCCGAAGGCGCCGCCGTTGCAAGCCCCGCCCATGTTCGCCGCGCCGCCCGCCGCGATCCAGATGCCGCCAGCGGGCGCAGCAGACCAGCCCGTGGACGTGGACCAGGATGACGAAAATGATGCCATGGATTTCGCGGGCTTCGGCTGCGGCGGCAAGCGCACGCCCTCCCAACTTCAGGGGACAGCAACTCTCATGGACGCCAACGGCGACGCCGAGACGGCCAATAATGTCAAGGACGCAGTCGCAGCAATGTCCGCGGCGAGTCCGCCGCGGGTTTAACACGATCACCACCATTACTTTCAATGGCAGTTGCTGGGGTTCTTCCGAGCAGTTTTTTGAAATCGAACTGGTCCAATGACGTGACCGCGATCTGTGTCCAGGAGCACAGGCTGACTGATGGGGGCGTCATTAACCAGGAGATTCAATGGTGCCAACGGCGGGGTTGGCTTGCTCACGTCCCAGCTGCCAGTTTCAATGCCAATTACGAGAAGGTCAACGGAGTGGCTATCCTGGTCCGAGATCACTTGGGCTTCGGGGTGGGGCCCAAGAATTTCCAGCCCACGGTGGGCTCTTAGCCGCCGCGCAGGCATCTGCCTAGAAGCGCCAGGAGTCTCCAAGGTGGGCATACTTCCCATTTACTTCAAACCAGCTGAAGGTCTAGGCGAGACAAATCTAGGCCTGCTCCCAGAAATTGCAATTCAGCAGGAGCGAGTTCAGTTCCCTATCGCTGTGGCGGGGGATTTCAACATGGCCCCCCACGAGATCGAACCCCTACACTACCTCAACATGGCCCCCTTGCGCCCCCAGAAGCCCCGACCTGCAGGAAACCGAAGTCCCAATCCATCCTGGACTATTTCCTGGCCAGCGACCCCCTGGCAGAGAAGATTGACAAGGTCCAGACCTGGGCCAAGTACCCCCCTGCGCCCCGCAGGCCAGTCTGCGCAGACTTTGGAGGTGGCGACAGTTTCATGATACCCGTGCTGGCGAAACCGCAGAAGCTGCCTTCTTCAGCGCCCGTGGGCCCGCAGGAGTGCCCGAGAGAATGGACCCAGAGTAAGTCCGTTCAAGTTTATGCCGAACCCCTGCTTCCCGATGCCACCTCGCCTCTGAGCAACAGCAGCAGCAGTCGATCCTCGATTGTTGCTATTCCGCCGTCGTCAAAGATCTCGAACAGTCAATCAGAAGCATCGCCGACGCGCCACTGAAACACAGCTCGAAACCAAGAGCCAGCCCCCCAGAGATAAAGTGGGCCCCCGCCAAACGTCGAGAATCCCGAGTCCGATCAAGCTGGAGGCCCTTGGACGGCCCGTATCGATGGCATAGAAATCGTTTCGTCGACATCAATTTCGCGGTAGGTAAGCGGGGCTGGTCGCAGGTAACGCATCAGATAGCGGGGCCACATGGCCCGCCAGACGAGTTTCACGCCATCCACGACTTGAAGGCCAGGTTGCAGACTGTCACCCAGTGGTGCGAATTGCTGCTGGCTGACATCGCAGCTGGAGTCGCACTGGAGGGCGCAACCGACCAGGCCATCGGCCAGTTTCTCCGGGATCTTGACAAAACCATCGGCTCCGAGAGGAAGAAACAATTTTCGAAAGCCTCAAAAGCATGGGCCTCATGGGTCCAAAGTTCGCTCCAGGAAGGCGTCGGCTGGGCTCGCAGATGGACCCGGAGCATAGACGCTCGGAAGCCGGCTGCCGCATATTTGAGTGGAAGGTGGCCTGGACGACCGAGCAGCATTTTAGTAAGCGAAGCGGGCAGGCCAGCGAATAGCCGGGACTTGTCCGACACCCCGGAAGGACGCCCCATGCCCAGTGACATAGGTGATCGAGTCGCCTTGGGCCCCATGACGGGAGAAATCGTCATCAAAGCCGCGCATAATTTTCCTCTTCGGGCCTCTTCGAACTGGGGCGGCTTGCATCCCAGGCACGTCGCCCTGATCACAGAGCAGCCGGCCGACCTGGTCGCCAAGCTGCTCCTCATTATCGAACGAGTAGGTTTCATGCCCGCACATAAACAGGCCATCATTCCAGCACTGATCATGAAACATATTCAGCAAGACCCGCAGGCCACCGAGCCAGCAATGAGATCCATTGGGATGATGTCGGGCCTGTATAGAGTGTGGGCTAGAGTAAGACAGCCAGCTGCTCGCGAATGGGACCGCCATCGCACGCGGCCGTTCCTTGCTCATCAAGCAGGTCACCCCATAGTAGTAATTGGGTTCAAGCAGAGCTTCGGGTGCGAGAACTACAGCAAAAGTAACGGGCGACTTGTTTCAGGTATGATCCACTACAACCTCAGCAACTACAATGAGCACATCACTAGAGACAAGCTGGCTACGCGGGCCCTGCGCCACGGTCTCCCAGCTACCATACTGCGTGCTACCCTCGGCGTCAACGCTAGCCGACGATATGTCGCCCTCCGGGATCTAGTCGCGTCGGTGGGACATATTTTATACGGTATAGCAGCGGGGCGTGAGTTTGCAACGTATTTCATACAGATGTACACGCACGATCCCCTCGACCCCTGAACCCAGCAGAACCGCCATTTAGACCTGCTCATGTTCATAGTTGACCTCCCCATGAAGGCGCACGCGCGCCGGGCCAGTGCAGTCATAGCCAGACTAGATCGGGGGACCCGCAGTTTAACCCAGTGCATCCAGCATGGCCTCGACAGCTGAGTCGCTCCCGCCAAGACTCAGATGCTCGCCTCCACTCCAGAGCTGCGCAAGGGCATCAAGAAACAGTTCCGCGAGAGAGCAGGCGCGATGCTTGACATGGTAGGCCCGGGCCCCGGCTTCGAGACCGCAGCTGGCGCCCCCCCCAATGCAAATGGAGGAAGGACAGGCTCGCCACGGCAAGGATGAACCATATCAAGAGAAGGATGAAGAGGGCTGGGGGCGGTCAGGGGAGCAGGAGGAGACACCAGGAAGATCTATAACACGGGCATCTTCGCAGCCACACCCATTGGACATGAAGTGACAGGCCTCAGTAGCCCCCAGCTCGCGATAGCCCAACAACAGTATCTTAAGTTAGCTGGACCCAAATGCGCCACCACAAGCAGGGCCCTCAGCTTGCTCCCCGTGGGAGACCCAACCTGGAAACTAGCTCTCGGGCTTGCTCTAGCGTGACATTTCATCACTTGGACAGCCGCCGCCAATTCCGTCCAAAGCCTTGCTTCCTTATCTACCCTCCGTTCCCGCGGAGAGGCCCTCATGGGCCAGGCCCCCGCTCGCTGGGGCAGCGTGCGCGAGCCCTTCGGAGCCATGATGCTAGCCTTGTATCGCATCGGCTGGACTCTAGTTTCGCCTGTAGTTGTCCATTCCAAGGAGGGCGCACAGTACCCTTTTAATTTTTTGCGCCTGCGTTTCTCCAGAATCTCACGCAGCAAGCGTGGATTCGCCAACTGCGCCAGCAAGCAGCCGACAGACTGGGGCACCCAGACGCCGCACTAGATTTCAGCATAGCGACCAGCGATTAAAAGAGCCCAACCCTCAGCAAACAAGAACGAGGGAGCCGTTCAACCTTTTGAATTCTTCAGGGTGCTGGACCAAGGCCAGAGCCAACGACGCTGTCTACACTATAGATTGCACCTGCATGCGTGGAGTCTCGTCGGATTGCCTCCGCCATTGTTTGTTCAAGTGTCAGTTGTCCCAACCCGAGAGGAATTGTGCTTTCTCGACCGATGAGCTCGAGTTCAGCTTGGCTCACGACAGAGGCCCGCTAATCAAGTTCGGATATCAGAAGGAGCTTGCCTGCTGAATCGGAGCCCCGCCAGGAACTGGATTGGACTACTGCCAGTTCTGGTGTCAGGGCGACAATATCTCTCTGGAAGAGGCCTTTGCGGGGAATGTATATGCCGACGGCAGTTGCGACCCTTCCCTGCGCCCTGCCTTTCAGACGGCGCGCTGGCCAGTAGTTTCTATGAAGAGGTGAACCCTTCGCGATTTTATCTGGCCATCTGGGGCCGGATTTTCCGCCAGGGCCTGGGGTTGCAGAAATGATTGCCACCGTTGTTGCCTGCCCCGTTTCTCCACTCATCGAACAAGTCCATGCGGACTATGCGGGAGTTTTGCAGTTACACAAAAATCCGGGATATCCTAGAAGGAACATCCATGCATATTTCACAGCCCCGATCTGGTCGGGCCGTCGCGTCGCCCGGGGGTTGTCTCGTCAAAGCCAAAGCTCATCAGGACCTCTCGCAAGACTTCAACGACAACGATGCTCATGACCACGCCGAAGGTAATGACGCGGCGGACAACGCAGCCACGCGAGCCGCCACTACTAATTCTAACAGGCCTCCGGGGGCCGAAACAGAGCTCGGCCGATCCGAGCGGAATTTGTTGCGCCGTTTCCTGTTCTACGTGGCCCAGGCTTTCCCCAAGTGGCCCCCTCTTACCCCGCGCCCTGGGAAGAAGGCCCTTGCCGAGCCCGACTCCCGCGACCCACCGATGGGGGCAGCTTCCGCTGCCTACGCCTGGGGCCCGGGGGCCGCCCCTTTCCCCCCTCCGAGGCCCCCCCCCCCCGCCCCCCTCCCCCGCCCCCCTCAGTCATTCTGGCGTGGCCCATCGGTGGGGGCATCTTTGCGGTAAGCACCTGCGCGCCCTATGCCGCGCCAGTGCCAAAGATATAGATCAATACAATCGTAGGATCAGTGGGATATGCCCAGGCTACTGCGCTGGCCTGGCCTCGCTAGCGCAAAGCCGTCGTGGGCACCGACTTGTCCTTCTTGAGTACGTGTTCCATGAGAGCACGATCATCTTGTGCTGCGCGTGCGGATCGCATCCGGAAGCGGGAACCAGGGGCCGTCTGTTCAGCCCATGCCCTCGTGCGCTTGAATCCAGCAATGCGTTTGATCAGCTTTCGACAGCGAGGGGCCTCGCCCACCCTAAGCGAGGCCCCCGCGCAGACAAGGTTTTCAAACCTCCAGTGCCCCTCGAGCTTTTCTATCGACAGGCCCTGGCGGAAGCTCAGCCGGAAGTTTCGACTCCAGCGGGTGGAAGTAGTAGCCAGGCATTGTCATTTGCAGCTCAAGAGTCCAGATAGGCCCACGCCAGGGACGCGGCCTGCAGTTGCCCTGGCATTATTTACCAGGGGTGAGCAGTGCCGCGCCGTCCTGGCGTCGCTTCGGACACAGCATGCATGTGTACGCGCGTGCGCGCGCGTCCCCGCGCGCGCGTCAGGCACCACGCCTCAGGGGGAAGGCGCGCTTGAGTACTCACCCTCTGCGGCACAGCTGCACAGAGGGCCTTCTGAGGTGTGTTGGGCACGGGGGCATACCTGGCTCGGCCAGTCCGCCCCGACCGCCGCTCGCCCACCCATCCTTTTCCGCGGTACCATAAGCCCACTGCAGGTTCGATCTGGGGTCTTTGTATTGTCCTGGCTGGCGGTGCTGGTGTCTCGCAGCCAGCCCTGGAAGTCTGGCCGTGGGGTTCCGTCAGTCAGGCGATGCTGGCCGTCCTTTTCGCTGTGGCGTGCTGTTTGGCGATTCCCTGTTGCACGGCCGTGGAGCGCGACCTAGCTCCCCCACGGCGACAGTTGCACAGGGGGCCACACTCCTTGGGGTCTGGGCGCGAGGGTGGTCTTGGTCGGCCAGTCCACCCAGTCGTTGCTCTACCCCCCCCTTGCCCAGCGAGGGCGGCGGAGACGAGAGCCGAGGTGGTTTGGAGTGCAAACGCCACATCTGGGCCCATCGCTCTCTTTCAGCGTCGGCAGCGTCTTGCCGTCTCAGCGGTCAGTTGGTTCACCCGCGGCCGTTGTGAAGAAGATAGGTGGCCCAGTGCCACGAGGTTTTGGGTTAGGGTCGGGTCGGCCAACCCTTAGCCTCCTTCATCAGCTATGTGATGGTCCTCCTCCTCCTCCTCCTCCTCCTCCTCCTCTTCCTCCTCCTCCTCCTCCTCCTCCTCCTCCTCCTCCTTCTCCTCCTCCTCCTCCTCCTCCTCCTCCTCCTCCTCCTCCTCCTCCTCCTTCTCCTCCTCCTCCCCCCCCGCGCCGGGCCCGAAACGGCTCTCTGCGGCGCTCGGGCCCTCGGAACCCCGGCGCTCAGGGCGCTCGGGCTGCTGGCGCCCGTGGCCGCGGCGGCGGCCGCGTGGCAGGGATGGCCGGCTGCCTGGGCCGTGGGCTCGGCTCGGATGGCGCCAGCTGTCCTCGGACGACTTGCGCCCAGGCATCCGATGCCCGCTCACCAAACCAACCCAACCCAACCCGAAGGCCCCGATGTTCCTTCCATTTCCAGTGGGGGGGTCTTGGGGAAAATTGGCCGTCAATTTTCCAGTGAAAAAAAACACATGAAGCCCGTGCCCCCCCCCGACCCGAAATTCTGGCGAAATTCGGGTCTTCGGGTTGGGTTGGGGTTGTTTGGTAGGTAGTCATCCGATGCCCTGATTTATTCCATTCGCGGTCCCGGGCGTCTCTGGAAGTCTCCGCCTTTTCCAAGGGCCGTTTTTTTCGATCCCGAGCCGTTAATTGACGGTCGCAGGGCCCGGCGAGGGCCTCCAGAGGCCGAGGAAACCTTCCGTCCCGATTTTTGTCAATGCATTGAAGGTCTTGGTGTGTACCGTACCGCACGGCGTCACGCGAGGCGTCGTCGATCCTCGACCCAGGGATTGTACGGTGCATAGTTGTTCGGCCTTCAGAGCCGAAAACCCAAGCACCGCACATCGCGGGAGCGGGGCCTGGAGGGAGTCGAGACAAGGTACGGTGCATGAACACCGTTCTTGCAGACTGGACACCGACACCGATCCCAGACCTCCGCGCGTGGTGAGACAAATCACGACGGACGGTTTTTCTTTGCTTTCGGCATATGGGGGCCGTCAAAGCACGGCTCGGGGTGAAAAGCTGGTCCCAGGAAGGGGTCCAGATTTCCATTTGATATCGCTCGGACGTGCGCACTTTTTCACGGCGGGGATCATTGAGGAGCATCCTGGACCATCCTGCGAACAAAACCACGCACGAAACCGAAAAGAACACAGGGAATGGACGTCCGAGCGATGGCCAGTCCAGGGGTCCACGTTCAAAAAAAAATACGACGCCGGCAGGCTCACGTCGCGCTGACACGGCGGCGGCCCCGCCAGGGCGTCCAGGGGGAACATTCACCGGTGGCCCAGAAGCGGCCAACGTGGAACGATCTGGCGATCGAGCAACCGCCGATCGTCCAAGCTTGACGGATCCACGCGTTGTCAGAAGATACCGCGGTGTAAGATGCACCTTCACAGGCCCCCTCGAGTGGTGAACAAAAACACGACGTGAGATTTGTCTCTATGTTTGGCGTCCGGGTGCCCTCACAGGGCCTCGGGGCAGTCAAGAACAACATCCAGGGTGAGAAGCTGATCCCTGGGAAGGGGTCCATACCTCCAGGGCTCCACATATGTTTGAAACAACACACGACCTCGGGGGTCTGGGTATACAGTCGGGCCGAGGTATAAGGTCGAGGTCGGCTCGGGGAGGGAACCCTAGTGTTCTTCGTGTTTGTTGGGAAGGGTATCCTAGTGGTCTTCGTGCTTGTTGGATGTTCTTGTGCATCCTGGGGAGGGCACCCTCGGATGTTTTGTACGTTTTGGCCGGCGAAGGGTCTCGCGTTCTTGAAGGACGAACCTCTGGCCCATGTCCGACTGTACGCCTGCACCGATCCTGACCAGGCCGATCCTGCGACGAGTATGCAAGGCTTTGGATGGGGCCAGAATCGGCCAATGTGGAACGACCTGGCGACCGAACCGCCGCCGATCCTCCCAGGTTGAACGACCCACGCGGTGCTAGAACCAGCGCCTGGAGCGTCACGGCACGAACCTGACTCGGGGAAGCGTAAGACTCGATTAAGCCGGAACTCGGGTTTGCCGAAGTCTTTTGACGAGCGCGTCCTGGATTGTGACGGTCCGGTTTTCTTGGCACGTCTGTAGCGGGAGCCCGCGTCAAATTTCAGATTGGGTCTCGTTATTTTCATGATTGCCCTCGTCAGGCCAACCCGAGTCCCCCGTACCCGAGTCTTTCAGAGGCGACGATAGGGGCGAATAGCCCAGGGGAGAGCAATCCATGTATCCAGGGGCGCCGATGATCTATGTCTTCGACAAGGCTCCCGGGCGAATACGTGTAATGCTGTCCATGGGCTATTCGCCCTTATCGTCGCCGCCGAGTCTTACGTCTCCCCCACTGACGCACTCCTGCGTGAACCGATCTTGGCCGGGCGATCCTGGGGCCAGGATGAGAGGCCTGTGGGCGGGCCACATTCCATGCCGTGGGCTGTCCCTGGCCCCGCCCAAGGGCCTGGCAGCCTTGCCGAGCATCCTCGTTGACCCGGTCGCGCTGTCTGGGTAGGGGGAGGGCCTGGCGGGCAGGGGGGCAGGAGAGCAGGGTTGAGGAGAAGGAGGAAGTGGCGGATAAGAAAGAGGAGGGAGGGAGGAGGAGGAGGAGGAGGAGGAGGAGGAGGAGGAGGAGGAGGAGGAGGAGGAGGAGGAGAGGAGACGAGGGAGGAAGGAGGAGGAGGAGGAGGAGGAGGAGGAGGAGGAGGAGGAGACGAGGAGGAGGAGGAGGGGAGGAGGAAGAAAAGGAGGATGCAGGAGGAGAGGAGGGAGGAGGAGGAGAGGAGGAGGAGAGGAGGAGGAGGAGGAGGAGGGGGAGAAGGCGGAGGAGGAGGAGGAGGAGAAAGGGTTCTGTCTCGGGAGGGAGCGGGGCTGATCATGGGGAGGAGGATGAACTCTTCCCCCCTTTTCTGAGATCTCCCCCGCTCCCTTTCCCTCCCCAGACCTCGTCTCCTTGCGACAGACATCACGCCAGAGGTGGTTGATTTTCCTCGCCTGGGTTGCCCTTCACTGGCCTCCAGGGCAGTCAACAAAACGACTCGGGATGATGAAACCGTCCTCCCCTCCTCAGCCTTCTCCTTCTGCCCCCCTCCTCCTCCTCATCCTCTTTCTCCTCCTCCTCCTCCTCCTTCTCCTGGGGAACATGTCTGGACCTCTGGGAATCCACGCTATTGCGAAACAGTCCGACGCCAGAGGTATGGTCGCCCAGTCAGACCTCCGACTTGGGCAGTCTGGTTACGACGCCAGCCCCAAAACTCTCGACCAAATCCCGAGGATCGGGGGGACAGAAATCGGCACGGAAATAATGTGCAGAAAGTCCAGCAGCAGTTGTTGTTCATTTTGGGCAGGATTCGCTGCCGGCGTTGCGGCGGTTGTTGTTCATTCGAGACACAAGCTCGCCTGGCCAACAGCGGCCGCTGTCGGTTTGGGACAACATTTGTTGTTGGGCATCGTATCCATTTTTTCTATACCCAGTTCGGGCGTCCAAAGGGGAAGCGCAATCGTAGATTATTGCGCATGGATTAGCTTCGGGTCCCGCTTCCATATAAGCATCGATGATCCTCAGGACGCGTGTTAGCCCGATGTGTGTGCGTGTGTGTGTGTGTCAATCCCGTTGTTTTTCCAATGCCATGCAGCCTATGTCGGCCCTCATTTCGCCGCCAGCGTCGCATCGAAGGGCCTCGGCGGACAAACACGCGTTGGCGCTGACACGCGTTCTGGGGATGCACTGAGCAATCGACGCGCACCGTCGCCAAATCAGGCGGCGCTGGCTTCATTCAGCAGTCCTCGGTCTGGCCTCTCTGTCCCGGGGGGGGTCCTCTGATGTGGCCTGGGGCTCGCAGAAGCGGCCCCCCGAGGCCAAGCCAGGCGCTAAAGCACAACAAGCGCCCGGCGTTTCAAGACCCCCTCGCGTCATGAACAAAAACATGCCGGAAGGTTTTTTGTTTTTTTCGGCCTCCAGGGGGCCTCCGAACAGTCAAACAACGAGTTGGGATGAAAGTCAGTCCCAGAGAAGGGGCCAGACCTCTGGGGGTCGACATTGTGAAAACTGCGCAACGCCGTGGGTCTGGGTTGCTTCCTCGCGACGCCGGGAGGTCAAGTCGATCCCGCGATCAGGGGCAGGGTTCGGTCGGTTCGGCTGAATCGCAGTCGGTTGCGTTCGGTCGGGTTTTTCGTGTCGTTGCTGCATCGCTGCGCTCCCCTGGGCTGTCTGCGGCATATCGGCGTCAGTCGGTTTCGGCTTCGCCGTTCCCACGGACGGCCCCGACCTCGAGGGAGTGCGTTGCGTGAGCGTGCGCAACAGGAGGGCGGCCTCGCGACCCGCGGAGCGCACGCGTGTGCGGCAGGCCCGTGGCGTGTTGACGCGGCGGCGACCCCCGCGCGGGCGTTCCAGGTTGAACGCCGCCAGTGTATGTATGTATGTGTATATATGTATGTGTGTGTATATATATATATATATATATCCCCCCCTAGTCATCACCCCCCTCTTTGCCGCCCCCGATATGCAGGATTGGACGACCAGGAACACGAGCGGCAACACACGCGGTGCCCTGCTGGCAGACCGCTCCGCCGCAGGCCCGCGACGCGCCACGGCGTGCCCCGCGGCACGGCCCCTCCGCTTCGGGCACGGCAGAGGGGGCCATGACTTGGCCGATTTCGATTGATCTGCGCTGCCTGGGAGCTGCGATCGCGCAAGGCTGAGCGATCCGCACGGTCTCAGAGAAGACGCCTCCGAAGTCCCAGACATGCGCTGTCTTGAGTTTTACACCACGGAGTTCCCAGAAATTCCCGACCCTTTCCCCAGGGCCGGTTCTTCATCGCGGACCGCTCTATGACGGTCCCGGGGCCCGGCGAAGGCCCCCCGAGGCCGGAGGCAGCTAACAGCGTCTCGTCGTGATTTTCTTCGCAACACGGGGGGGCATGGATACGCGGCTGCGCGCGCCCGTCCTCTCTGTGCTTTCGGTAGCAAATCACGGGAGCCTGGTGTGTCCTCGCCAGTCTGTCTTCAGAGCGCACAAGCGCGCAAGCCGTGCCCTTCGATTCGCGTCGGTCAGCGTCCTTGCACTAGGCCCTAGGCCTCCCAGATGGGGTCGGAGTAGATAGGGTCGAAGGATCCCGCCGCATCGCCGCTGCATCGGCGATCTCGCTCGATGCGGCGACCGAATTTCGCCATGCCGACGGCGCCAATGCATCGCCGGTGCGTCGCCGGCGCATCGCCGATGCATCGCCGATGCACCGCCGATGCATCGCCGACGCCGCGGCGATGCGGCGCGATCCTTCGACTCCCTCTGCTCCGACCCCATCTAAGGAGGCCTCTGCCTTCGCAGGAGCCAGCCGGACGGTACGGGAGGCTCCCGCTGGGGGACCGGAGGGAAGGGGAGGGGAGGGAAGGGGAGGAGGGGGAGGAGGAGGAGGAGGAGGAGAGGAGGAGAGGAGAGGGGGAGGAAGGGAGAGGAGGAGGAGGAGAGGAGGAGGGGAGGAGGAGAGGAGGCGGAGGAGGAGGAGGCGGAGGAGGAGGAGAGGAGGAGCAGGAGAGGCGGAGGAGGCGGAGGGAGGAGGAGGAGGAGGAGGAGGAGCGTGAGTTGCCACTGGCTCGGCTCCCTCGCCGAGGCCACGCCCCCGAGGCCGACGGGGCGCGCGGCCCGTCGGCAGAGGGCGCCCAGGACGCCCCGCGGCGGCGCGGGGGTCGCCGCGGCGGGCCGCGGCGGCCTCGGCCTGCTGGACCTGGACGGGCAGGGTGCGAGGACGATCGAGGACGTTGAGGTGCTATTGGGGGGGATGGTGTTGATGAGGCTTTGGTGATGATGATGAGGAGGAGGAGGATGATGATGATGATGATGATTTCGATGATGATGATGATGATGATGATGATGATGATGATGATGATGATGATGATGATGATGATGATGATGATGATGCTGATGCTGATGCTGATGCTGATGCTGATGCTGATGCTGATGCTGATGCTGATGCCGATGATGCTGTTGATGAAGGTGATAACGACGACGACGAGAACGACGATGATGATGATGCTCATGATAATGACGATGATGATGAAGATGATGCTCATGCTGATGATGAGCATGATGATGGTGATGCTGATGATGACACTGATGATGTTGATGATGGTGATGACGATGGTGATGATGATGGGGATGATGATCATACTGAGGATGCTGGTGACGATGACGGTGCTGATTATGATAATGGTGATGATGATGATGTTGATTACGATGGTGATGATGATGATGTTGGTGATGCTGATGATTGTGATGCTGGTGATGATGGCGATGATGGTGGTGGTTATGATGGTGGTGGTGAGGATGATGATGACGATGATTGTGGTAATGATAATGCTGATGATGAAATTGATGATGCTGATGATGCTAATGATGATGATGAACATAGCATACTGATGATAACGATGATGATGATGATGATGATGATGATGATGATGATGATGATGATGATCATGATCATGATCATGATGATGATGATGATGATGATGATGATGATGATGCTGATGCTGATGATGATTATGATGATGCGGATGATGGCAATTATGATGCTGATGATGCTGATGATGGCGATGGTGATGCTGATGATGATCCTGATGATGATGATGATGATGATGATGGTGATGGTGATGGTGATGCTACTGATGATGATGATGATGATGATGATGCTGATGCTGATGCTGATGCTGATGATGATGATGATGATGATGCTGATGCTACTGATGATGATGATGATGATGATGATGATGATGCTGATGCTGATGCTGATGCTGATGCTGATGCTGATGCTGATGATGATGATGATGATGATGATGATGATGATGATGATGATGATGATGATGATGATGGTGGTGGTGGTGGTGGTGGTGGTGGTGGTGATTATGATGATGATGATGCCGATGATCTCAGTGCTGGCACGTGGACCGGCTGGGTGCGAGGACGCTCGGGGATGTGGAGGTTCCAGTGGTGGGGCAGCTTGGATCACCGCGGGTGCTTGACCCTCAGAGCCGAGCATCTGTGCACCGTGCCGCGTGGGAGCGGGGGCTGCATGGAGTCGAATCATGGCACGGTGCATGGGCGCCGTCCTCGCAAACTCCGCACCTAAAGAGATCCCAGACCCCCTCGCGTGGTGAACAAAACCACGACGAAGGGGTTTAGATGTATTTTCGGCTTCTGGGGGCCCTTAGTGGGCCGTGGCCTTGGGGCCAGCAAAACAACAACTGAGGATGAAAACCCGGTCCCTGGGAAGGGGTCCAGATTTCCAGGGGTCCGCGTTGCGAAAAGAGGCGACGTCGGTAGGTTCGCGTCGTGCCAACGCGGCGGCGACCCCGCCACGGGCGTTCGAGCTTAACGCCACCAGTGGCCCAGAATTGGCCAATGTGAAACGATCGTGCAATCGATCAACCGCCGATCGTTCGGGGTTGAAGGATCCGCGCGAGGTCAGAAAACCAACACTGGGGTCATCACCTACACCCTACTCCGATCCTGGCCAGGGCGATCCTGGACTCAGGATAGGGGCCCGTGGATGGGCGGGGTGCGAGGACGATCGGGGATGTGGAGGTTCCAGGGGCCCCGAATGATTTTCCCGTGGGTTGGGGGGTTCGGACCCCTTAGGTTCTTCCCGGGGGGTGGGGGGAGGGTTGTGTGGGAGGTTACGATGGGAGGTGGGTCCCTGGTTTATGGCCCCCCTTTGGTAGTTTTTCTAGGGGTGGTCATCTTGTTTCTGGCCCCCTCTTGAAGAGCTAGTTCAGGCCAGCGACGCTGGATCGCGCTCCCTCAAAAACCTTCGACGATCGGGGGTCAAGGTAAGTGGACGCTAAGGTGGGTCGCATGTCTGGCATAATCCAGCCTACAAGTGTGGTACAAGTGCCCTCGGTTGCCATGGGGGTTGGAAAGCTCAGCCGATCGGGCGGAGCCCTAGCCCGGATCTCAACCGCCTAGCCACGTGGGGCACTTGTAGCCCACTTGTAAGCATCCTCTCAGAACCTCCCTCCATATCCCCTTAGCCGCCCCCGCGATGATCCAAGAGGGGGGGTCCTGGCCCCTCAAACTCATGAGCCCATGAGATCCGACGGCGCGAACACGCGCAACATCGTATGAGATCGCAATCCGAACCTCAGGCCCAGTCCTTCTGTGGCAAATTCGCGGGCGGGAGCTCCGCGAGGGCCCCAGGGCCCGCAGGTGGGCGGGATCGATTGGAGCTCCGCAGCAGGGGGGCGCCCGGCTCTCCGGGACGGCTTCGACTTTGCGAGCCAGGAACTTGCGACGCCCAACTGGAGAAAGCAGGAGGTTTGGAGGGCGTGTCGGGCCACGGCTGCAGCTTCCCCCGGGCGTGCCGCAGTCCTGGCGATTCGAAGTTCGGGGGGCGGCCAAGAGGGGGGGTGACAACTAGGGGGGGGATAGCATGGCGGGGGCCATGCTATCTCCTCAGATTTCGTGGCGTCTCCTTCTGTCACTTCTCTCAGCACGTCCCCGGCCCCCCCCCCCCTTTTGGGGCCGCGCCCCTGCCGCCGGCCATGATCTGCACCCCTGCCCTCTTGGGCGCCCCCCTCTTGGCCGCCCCCGAGGGGTCTCGGCCTGGGGGGCCCTGAGGGGGCTGGGGCGCGCGAAGCGGCGGTCGGTGCCAACGGAGGAGGGGGAGGAGGAGGAGGAGGAGGAGGAGGAGGAGGAGGAGGAGGAGGAGGAGGAGGAGGAGGAGGAGGATGGATGATGGATGAAGGAGGAGGAGGAGGAGAGGAGGAGGAACAGCAGAGGAGGAGGAGGAGGAGGAGGAGGAGGAGGAGGAGGAGGAGCAGCCCGTCACCTGTGATCTCTTCTTGCTGCTGGCCAGGGTCCGGGGGCCACCCGGAGCCGACCCCCGCCGCCCGCCTTTTTCCGCCGATCCGCGTGCCGGCCAGGGTTGGCGGCGTGGCTCTGGCAGAACCGGGCTGGCGCTGGCCCAGGGCTGCGTGTCCTTCAGGGGGGCCCTGGTTGCGGGCAGCGCGTCCTTGAGTGGGGCTTTCCTTGAGGGTGGAGGAGGAGGAGGAGGAGGGGGAGGAGGAGGAGGAGGAGGAGGAGGAGGAGGAGGAGGAAGAGGAGGAGGAGGAGGAAGAGGAGGAGGAAGAGGATGGGCCATTGCAGGGTGTCGTCTGTCCTGTTTTTGGGCGTCCTGGGGCGCCCACGTCGCCGCCGGCCTGGATTCGTGCCGAAGTTCTGGGCCAGAGCGCACCCCAGGGCATGGCCAGACCTGGGCGCGCAGGGGGCGAGGACCTCAGCGCCACCAGGATGGATCGGGGCTGGACAGAACCCCCAACAGTGACACGTCGATTAGTGAATTGTCCGTTTTCGGTTCTCGAGAGGGCGCCGTGGCCGTCATTTTCCAGGCTTGCGCCCGCCAGGTTTGGGCCTCAGGTCGTTCTCACTAAACCACCTTTTTGCTAAAGGGGGGCCTGTCCATCCCCGAATGGAGATGGCATCGGGCTGGTGCTTCGGCATCGCGCAGGGGAAGCGCTGCTTTCGCGCGGGACGGCTCAGGGAAGTCGCAGGAAAGCGCCACCGTCCTGCACCGATCAAAGCCCCCGTCCGGTTTTTCAGTATTTCATTACTCATCAGGCAGGGTGGCGGATGGCGTTGAGTCGGGGGCTGCCAGAGGTGGTCTTGGCCAGATGTGTCCACAGCCTTTCGCGCCACCCTGGAGCTCCCAGGGCCCTCTCGGCCTCGCAAGGGGTGTTCTGAAGGCCATCTGGGACGCCTGGGCAGTCCTGGGGGCACCAGCTTGGGCCAGAATGATGACCTGAGACGTGGAGGCTCTGGGGTGGGTGGGTGGGGGGGAGCAGAAATCTTGGGAGCGGGCGGAACTGGTCCATTTTCATAATTCTTTGGCCTTCAGCATTCCCCTCGTCGCTACGCCTCAACGCAGCTCGGACAACTTGCCAGGATGGACACTGGGAGCGGTTAGGGGTGGCACATTTTGAGAAGCTGTCCTTGCTTGGGGGAGCGGCTGGGAGGCCTTGGCTGGCTTGGGAGCGGCTTGTAGAGCTTTGGGCCGTGGCCTGTGTGGTGCTTTGGTCCAGCGATAACCCGGGATATGGGGTCCGCCCGCACCCCCCCTCCCCCCGGATAGCTTGACCTTGTCGGTTGCGCAGGTCCGCAGGGGAATGCTTTTATGGCGCACGTGGGCATGCGCCGGGCTGCTCAAAGCGAAAAGGTTAGGTCAGAGGCCGGCCCCCCCCCTCCCCAGAGGATATCAAACAGTGGCGAAGCGTCCTGGCGTGCCTATAGGCCTACCAAACAACGCTCTAAGAACCTTTTGTTGTTCCCGCGAAATGTTCTTAGAACATTTCTGGCTGGGACTGTCTTGTTTTAACACATCGGGTTTACATTATAAGATCACTGTTTTTGTTCTTGGAACATGTGGGGATTCTAAGAATATGTCGTAGAAGGCCTATAGGAATGCCGGGACGGTCGGTCCCTCCCCAGAGGATAACCCGGGCCATCGCTGAAACACGAACGGTCTCCTGGTCAGCTGCTCGGGGGCCTCCTCGGAGCCGGCATCCCACCTAAAGGCAGGATGTCGACCTTCCGGGGGCCGGGTCTCGGGGGGAGGTCATCCCGCACGCCCGCTCTCCCCAGGGGAGGTCGGTGGGTTCGGCGTGCAGGCTTGCCTCGGATAGATCTTCGAAAGACCTCGGGCTTCGAAAGACCTCGTGTTGCCTCTGGCAGCACAGGATGGCCTCGAGAGCCGGGCGACTTGTCGGGCAAGGGGGGGTCAGCGAAGGTCTCCCGCATGTCAGATTCGACACAGGAGTCAAGCTCGTTGCGAGATGGAGCGCGCACGCGGGATCGGGTACGCATGGTATGGTTTTGCACGACTGGGTGGCAGGGGCGAGAGTCCCGCACCGCTCTCCGCGAGGTGGGGGACGTCATGCAGGGCACTGTTGTCGGCAAAGGCGCGCACGCCATCTTGCGCCTGGACGTGGGCCTGCGGGGGGGCAACGCGTTCCTCGTCGGGGTTCCAGACGACTTGCGCAAGGTGAGGGTAGGGGATGAGCTTCGGGACTTGAGGGTGGAGTACGTGAACACGAGGTGGAACGAAGTCGACCTCTCGTTCCCTGGTTTGTCGAACCTGGCCGCTGGCAGGGAGCTGCGGCCACGAGAGTCGTTCACTCCAGGCGACCTGGTGGACGGCCAGGTCACCGAGCACCTCGACAGGGAGATCATCATCGACATCGGCTCGCGGTCGATGGCCTACATGAGGGTCCCCAGCCGCCTAAGGTTCCTGAAGTGGCTCGAGGTCGGCGAGACCCTGAGGGGCCTCACCGTCGAGGTCGTCAACGACCAGACGGGCATGATCCAGGCGAGCGGCGGGAGAAAGCGGGGTCGACTGCGCGGACAACCGGGCGTGAGCTTCACGCGTAAGGTCGCGCAAGCGCCCCCCTGGCCCTACACTCTAGGCGATGCTTAAGAAAACCCAAGTTTTCGGCCAGAGCCTCGATTATTCTGAATGTTTCGATGTAAATCCCAAGATTTGAGTAGACATTCTGGATTTTTACTCAAATTCTGAGACCATGAACTTCTTAACCCATGATTTCTAAAGCATTTCGCAGGGTGTAGGGTCGGAACGTCTTCTCGCGCGAGACCCGTTTGTTTTCATCGCTCAGGTGATGCTGCCGCTGCACGAGCTGCACGACGTCGTGGCCGGCCGGGCGGCCTCGCTGACGGACATCCGGGAGGGGGACATCCTCGACGGCACGGTGACCCACTGGAACCGCAAGGGCCTCTTCCTCGACGTCGGCTGCTTCTTCGAGGCCCTGCTGCAGGCCGACAGGGACCAGATGTTCAGGCTCAAGGCCGGGGACCAGCTGCAGGGGCTGAAGGTGAGGCGAGTTGACATGCAGATCGGAGGAGGGCCAGTCGTAGACAGTGGCGGCCTTGCCGTACGTTTCTCGTCCTTTCCGGGCATCTTGGAGGCCTCCCGTCGCTACGGCTGGATACTCCTGGGAGAACGTGTCAGGACGGACCCCGGGAGGGGTCCACGGACCGATCTTTAGCGGGCGTGAGCTGGGCGGGATAATTCGCCGCCTTTGTCGCAGTTGGCCCTCCTCCGAGCAGAAGCACGAGATTGTCGTGGTATTCCCAGGCCTGCGGGAGTTCGTGGCTGGGCGCGGGAGGCTGCTCTCTGATGTACAGCGGGACACGGAGCTGGACGGCACCGTGGTGCTTCGCTCTGAGGTGACGCTGTATGACCGGACGCGGTCGGCCGTGTGTATGCTCGACGTCGACTGTGATAGGCTGGCTACCCTCGTTGGGCCCGAGAAGCAGGTGCTGAAGCTCCGGAAAGGGGATGTGCTGAGGGGCCTGAAGGTGGTGGAGAGGCGCCGGAAGATGCTGTATGTGGAATTTCCCGGCCTGAGCCAGTTCGTCGAGTACAGGCGAGAGCCACTGGACATTCACGAGTTTGACGAGACCGCAGAGCAGGCTCTGGCCAAGAAGGCGCTGGGCCACCGCATCTATCGGATGAGCCAAGCCGAGGAGCAGGGCAGAGATGCGGTCGAATCTGCTGGTAGCGGCTCCCTGGGCAAGGTTGCAGACAGAGCATAG